ATCATACTTTAATAATTATCTTTTTTTTTTGTTTTTACATTAGTCTTTACCAACTCTTTTTTTATAATTATTTAACTTGTAAAATTTTGTTTTATGATTATTTTTTTGTCCCTTTTCTTATTTTCAATTTCCTATCATTTTTGTCCATTCTTATTTTATTCCTTTAATTTGTATTGCAAACTATTTTAATATATTAATATAAATGCTCAAATTAAAGTTACAAAAAAAATTATTTGAATGAGATTTTAGTATAATTGAATGCACATTCCCAAACATACATTGTCACGCCCCAGAACCCAAATCTGAGGACGCGACAGACGCCGTGCACTCGTGAGACGGGTCCCACAAGTGCACAAGGCTCAAAACTTATTCAAATCACAATTCGATACCACAAAATCTCAAGATAAAATTTTACAATCTGCTATGATATCATAAAATCTCCAAATACACTCTAGCTTACAAGATCATAATCTGTATCTAAAATCTATAGCAAATTCCAGGTGACTAGCCTTGGTTTCCCTGTTCTCGATTTCGATTCCTGAAATGGTGGACAAGGAAAACTATGAGATAACTCAGTAAGTAAATACGGATAGCCCTTGGGTAAAACTTTTAAGCATGCCAGATAAACAGTTTAATATAACCAAAACGCTCAGTGACAAAATCAGATTCAGTTTAATTGCAAAGCATTCATGACAAACCGTTAATGCAGAAGAAACTTAGTTCAGTAGTCTCATCTATAAGTCATGGCCAATGTTTACAAACTCCCACTGGCAGGCGTCAGTAATAGTGCTAGTGTTTAACACACTCCCACTGGCAGGCGTCAGTAATACTGCCAATGTTTTATCCCATTGGCAGGACGAACCGGTTCTACAGAAATACATGTTCGACATGTGTTAGCGTTTACAGCTCCCATTAGCGGGCGTCAGTAATCATGACTATATCCGAGACAAAACCATGCAAGATTTACAGAAAACCCAAATTTCACAATCAATCTCCAATTTCAGAAATAATCGGAAAATTTCCATGTGAGCATGGATTTAACAGAAAGCTCAGAATTTGCAAACTCTCAATTCATCAAAACAGTTCAGTCAATTCCAAATAGGCATGCTCTACTCAATGCAAAGAAAACAATTTCATTCCAATCATGCTCAATTCCATAAAACAATGCAATTCCCATTTTCATTCCAATCATGCTCAATTCCAGGAAAACAGTGAAATTCTCATAAAAACCATCACAACTTCCATTTCAGTTTCATCACATTCCGATGCTGATAAAATCAATTTAAAATCAATTTAAACCTTGCCACCATCTCAAAAACAGTTTAAAACATGCTTTAAAATCGAAGGGCTTTACCATAATTTACTTACCTCACTCGCATAAAACCGAGCACTCAATCTCAATGCTAACTGACAAAACGATTGGGAACCTAATCAAAACATCTCAGAATTAATACCGGACTATCACAAATTCACAATGAAATCATCATTAGCACTATTCCTAATCACAGTGCTATTTCTATCGATCTCCACATAACTGGACATCTCCAAATTCATTCTTATATCACAAACTAATCCTTTAAATCCCCGTTAATCGTTAACCCTCGGTGTGTGGACAGTGCCTATGAACAGTACTCATGAACAGTAACTTCAACTTCCAAAATTGCAAAACCATAACTAATCTCACAACAATCATAACAATCTAATTTTCTACTTAAACCACACTTTAAATCATAGCTTAAAGCTACCAAAATTCATTCCAATTTCCCGGACAAGCAATGGAGACCCACGGCTTTGGCCAACAATGGCTAAGTCACGGGGTTACTCCTACACAACATCACAACAGCCCAATTAACAAAATTCCTACATAAACCAAGCACAAAACACATTTAAATGCTATCAAAGGCTACCGGAATTCCTCCCCTCATTTTAGCAAAATTCGAACAACACAAGGCAGCAATTAAATGGCTAATTTAGGGCTTAAAGAAGTGGCCTTCATACCAGAATTTTCCAGCAAGAACCGGAGTTAGCAGGGGAAGAAGAAGCCGGCGGCAGAGAAGAAGAAATTCTGCAGGGGAACTCACGGGACCAACCCAAAAATGGAGAACCACGAGAAATTAAGGCAAACCCAACTTAAATCAAAGCTAAAAGGATGAAATCATGGCTGTTTCTTACCAGAAAAAGCCGAAGGATTCAAACCCAGCAGAACCCGACGGACAAGGGCGAAGAACAGAGCAGATCCGGGATTTCTGCAGATGGGGGAAAGGATTTCTGGGTTCTATGCTTGTTATTTAACAAGAGAAGAAGGAGAATTTTCAAGCTTTTGCCGAGTTTCTCAAGGGGAAACAATCGGCAGCTTGGGGGAGGGGAGGTAATCCTTATCCAAATTTTCTTTCTTTTTAGCCCCTCAACTTTTTAAAATTTTACGATTAAGCCCCTCAATAATATTTTCCCTCAAATAAGTTCCTTATTTAATGCTAAAATATCCCCAAAATTTTGGGATATTACATACATAATAGTAATATTGGATAGATATACAATTTAGAAGGAATGAG